TCAGGTATTACTACGGACCAGGGCTGTTCACGGACGGGCCGGGCCAGCCCGGGACGGGCCGGACGGGCTGACTACCCAATTTGCATAAAATTAGCGGACGGGCTGGGACGGGCCTTCCGTAGTACGGACGGCCCCGCGACACTTGCCGCGCTTCCCCGCAAAGGTCATGGAATCTTATTTTTCAAACCTTAAACATTTCGTCTAGCTCAGAAAAAAGTGCTCATGCACGGGATTTCTCAGAATTGTTTTCTCGAAACCCAAGCAACGGCAACATTTTTACAGGCAATTCGAGAAAAATTATCCTTGGCTAGTTTCGAGAAAACCATTCGTGAGCTATTCGAAAAAGTACGTTTTTCTGAAACAGATCCACTATTACGCTGCGAAAAATACGTACTACGCACATATTTACGCACAGAAGAGGTTGTTTTCATTTTTTGTCATCTGAATTCAGGACTATTATGCAAAGTGAAGGATATAATGGGGTTAGACGGGGCCAGGATTGAAAAGTCGCGACGCGGCTTTCAACCCTTGTTTTACATAATTTGGGTTTTACATAAAAAAATACAAACCGGATCCCCATAAAAAATATTAGCCGACTTGGCCATGGCGAAACCGCCGGGCCTGAGGCTGAGCTTTATTTTTTATTTTTTTTCATAGAAACCCAGTTCCACGTTACCACGGGGCACCAGGGGGCCACCGCGGGTGGGGGCAAAACCAAAACAGGCGTAGCCGGCACAAGGCCGGGCAGGTATATTTCTCACCAGGCAGGTATCCTACCTTATATAATTTGGTCGCGTTTCTTTGTGTGTGTGTGTGTGGATGTCACTTTCGAGGCCCGATTTGAGGGCCTTCCCGTGTCCAAAATGCCTTAATTCTCCGTCACCCGCGGGAATCGACCCTCCTCTTTCCGATGGCGCTTTCAGAATCCAGATAAAATACAGTTTACAAAGTTAAAGCCGGTTTTATTGATTTTGGGGGTCCGGAGGGCTCAATTTGCATAATGTGAAAAAATACAAATTTACTCATTCTTGCCAGTTGCACTCGCGAGTTTGGTCGTCTCTTTGGATCTGCCTCTCGATGCATTTCCTTCCCCTGCCCCGGGCAATCCCCTTCAGGCATAAAACGGGTGTTTGACGCGTGCTGCCAAGCATTGCATGGCGTAGTGGTAAGCGCTTCGCCGTGCTAATCCAACCATCGGAGGTTCGATTCTCGGATATTGTAGTTGTTTTACTTTTTGCTCGGAAAGTGCGTTTCGGAGTAGATTTCGGTAAGAGTTTACTTTACCCCCCACAGCCGAAGGGTCTCAAAGTTGTCGGTATTTTCGCTTATTTTGTCGGTATTTTCGCAACGCCATTCGATAGAGCGTCGAAAAATATACTAAGAGTTTTAATTTGAGCCTACAATAATGTAAAATAAAAAAGTTATAGCCACAAACTTCCGGCTGGGGGGTAAAGTAAACCGTAGTCTAGATTTCCGTGTAGGGACGTTATTATGAAGTTAGTCACTCAAGCCGCAGCCTACAGGGTGGGTCAGAAAATTGTTCCGGAGTTTGTCCCCGAATAACTCGAGAAGGAAAGATATTTCACCATACGTTACCATGCCAGAATGCTTAAATATGTCAGGAATAGAGATTAAGACCAACATGATTTTTCCGATTTTTGAGTACGCAACTGTACTATTGACGCTGATTGCGACCGAAAATTGTGCGTTCTTGAACGGGTGGTGGGGAAATTCTGATTTTTGGCCGAAAAATAGTTGATATTTCTAGAAAGGTAATAGCAAAGTCTTAGAATTTTTCAAGCTCTACTTCTTTTTTAACAAGGAAAACAAATATCACTGTTTTGCCTATCTTTACTTTTTAATTCGCAACTCTCTTCAAATACGCTGCCCATGGCTGATCTTTTGCAGATGGTATCTCCGAATGATAACCTTTAGCACAACACCAAATTTTACCTGATTCTATGGTATTTTAATATTGCTTGCTAAAACGTGCCCCAGAGGGATACTGTAGTTTTTGTTTTTCGCGTTTTTCTTTTTATTGTAAGCTGCGATTTCGCTTAAAATTTTATCATTGGTAAACACCAGTAAGGGTCACCTATGGGCTAAATATCGCGAAGTTCTAGCCATATACCTTCCCAAGATATGCAAAAAACTTATTTTTTAATTTAGCCACGGAAATTTCTAAATATTTTGATGCATCGTACCAAAAACTACTATTATTTGTTTTCCTGACAGATCGAAACGTTTCTATGGTGAAAAGAGCGAGAAAACAGCGATTTTCTGTTTTCTACAGTAACCCGCCTGGAGCGCGTTTTAGCATGCCAAGACAAAATTCCATAAAGTGCCGATTTTTCAACTTTAGAATGTTCTCTGGCTGATTATGAGAACGCAGGCAAAAAATTACTTACTTTCTGTGGCAAATGACAAAGTTATGAGGGAAAGTGGAAAACCCTCTTCGGGGGCCCGATTTTGGACCCGACACCCTGCCCCGAAAATCGAATTTTTGAAAATGGAAAAGGCACCAGGGTTTGGTGGATACAATTAAAGCACGCATTGAACTGTGTCTGATAACAAAATTCTGGAATGATCTGGCTGAAGTTAATGGTTAATTTTGATTTAAAATCCGAAAATAACGTTTTAGAAAAGCCGACTTTGGGGCGCTCTTCTAAAATCGTTTGCCATGAAAAGGTTTTTTGTTTCCATGGGTTCTAGTTGACTACCCAAGCTGAGTTTATGCCAAAAAAGTCGAGACTACTAAAGCCTCGAGAATTTTTTTATGTCGCCTCGAATTCGGGTATATTTCGACTTTTCATGAATTTCTTTTGAAAGATCGGATGGCCCAATAAATTTGTAAATATAATCTTAGAATGCGCCCATTAAGTAGTATTAAATAAAATTATGACAGTAATTCTAGCCGCGCAAATGAATTTTATAGACTGGCACCAAGGTCTGCGAAATAGCACGAACCAACCGTTTTGGAGGCGCTAAAAGGCAGCCTTCCAAAAGGGTACGGTAGCTAGAAATTGTGTACATGATAGATGGACCCCAGTCCTAAACAACTAAGCAAATCAAACACCCAAATTCTATCTGCAATTTTAGAAATATTTTTCCAAGGTTCAGTTTCGTGACCACGAAAAAATCCATGACCAGGGGGTCGTCGAAAAACCTGGAAATTCATTAATCTCAAAAAATTCTTTGAATTGTTTGTGCGATTGTATCAAGCCCATAGACATATTAAAACAGCTTATTTTGAGGCTCCCGCGATAAATTTTTTTAATATTCGACATTTACGAAATTTCTCCATACTAAATTTGAGCACGCTATAACTTGCCAACCTGACCTTCAAAAATTCCAAAATTCCGGATGTGCGTAGGGGCAGTCCTTAGGTACCTACACTGTAAAAATTGGAATTGTTCGACCACCAGCAATTCAAAAAAATGCAATCGAAGTTTTACCGGAACGCACAGTTTTCGGGTGTCATTTGTATGGGTACGTCGCCAAAAATCGAAAAAATCAAGTTGGTCTTAATCTCTATTCCTGACATATTTAAGCATTCTGGCATGGTAACGTATCGTGAAATATCTGTCCTTCTCGAGTTGGTCGGGGTCAAACTCCGGAACAATTTTCTGACCCACCCTGTATAGAATGAAGCTACCCGCTCAAGCATGCGCCGCAGGCCAATGAATCAAGCTAACTGCTCAAGCTAGCGCCACAGACTCCGGAACGACGCTAGCCGCTGAAACTAGCGCCGCAGGCTAAAGGTTCAGGCTGGCCCCTGAAACTAGCGTCGCAAGCTTCGGAAGGAAGTTAGCCGGGCAAGCTAGCGCCGCGGGCCCAAGGTCAGAACTAGCCCTTCAAAATTGCGCCGCGGGATAAGGAGGCTCAAGCTAGCGCCGCAGGCTTTAGAACGAAGCTAGCCGCTCAAGCTAGCGCCGCAGGCTTTAGAACGAAGCTAGCCGCTCAAGCTAGCGCCGCAGGCTTTAGAACGAAGCTCAGCCGCTCGCTTAGCGCCGCAGGCTTTAGAACGAAGCTAGCCGCTCAAGCTTAGCGCCGCAGGCTTTAGAACGAAGCTAGCCGCTCAGCTTAGCGCCGCAGGCTTTAGGAACGAAGCTAGCCGCTCAAGCTTAGCGCCGCAGGCTTTAGAATGAAGCTAGCCGCTCGGCTAGCGCCGCAGGCTTTAGAACGAAGCTAGCCGCTCGCTTGCGCCGCAGGCTTTAGAACGAAGCTAGCCGCTCAAGCTAGCGCCGCAGGCTTTAGAACGAAGCTAGCCGCTCAAGCTAGCGCCGCAGGCTTTAGAACGAAGCTAGCCGCTCAAGCTAGCGCCGCAGGCTTTAGAACGAAGCTAGCCGCTCGCTGCGCCGCAGGCTTTAGAACGAAGCTAGCCGCACAAGCTAGCGCCGCAGGCTTTAGAACGAAGCTAGCCGCTCAAGCTTGCGCCGCAGGCTTTAGAACGAAGCTAGCCGCTCAAGCTAGCGCCGCAGGCTTTAGAACGAAGCTAGCCGCTCAAGCTAGCGCCGCAGGCTTTAGAACGAAGCTAGCCGCTCAGGCTAGCGCCGCAAGCTAAAGAAGGGGGTTACCGCTCAAGCTTGCGACAGGCTTTATCTCGAAACAAACCGCTCGAGCCGGCGCCGCTGGATGAGGATCTGCGTCGCAGGCCTAATAACTACACTAGCAATTTAAGCTTGCGCCGCATGAGAATACAAAGAGATTTGCATGGGAGATGTGTTTTTCTTTCTTCAGGGTAACTTTATGTGTAAGGGCGCTCGATTCATAGGGCCTAGACGGGGTCCAGCGGGGGAGAGTCGCGAAGCGGCTCCTCCCCCGCTGGTAGGCTATGAAAGACAAGTTGGCAACCGCCCCCCCCCGCCCCCCGCAGCGCTGAAATAAGTTATTTCAGCTTATATTATTGATTATTTGATAAGATATTTCAAATAACCGACCCCCGATAACCTGAAAACACGAAAGTTTGATTCAGAGCTGCCGTCAATGCGCGCTTTCTGATGCCACGACGAATGAATGTGATCGCCGTGCAGGGAGGCGCTCGGCGAATCGAGGATGAAGATGGAGGGAATCAGGTGGCGCCTGTAGTCGCGCGTGGAACACACGGTCCACTCGGGTGCCCAAAAAAACGCTCTTTGACCCGACCAGTGTTGCGGATAGAACGACTTTTTTTGCAGCTCCTCATGCACGACGCCTATGTTGGGATCGGAGATTCGGCTGAGTGGTTTATCAGAGCGCATTATCATGGACATATCTATCTTCAGAGAAGATTCACCAAGACTATCAGGTATTAATATGTAATTGATGTAATAGGCGCTCCAAATTTGTCTAGTATTTCGAGGGTGCCCTTCTCTCGCTTCCTCCGCCATATACCCGATTCTTATTTTTCTACCAGATTTCTATGGTTTCAAGCAATCGATGATCCGGAGGCACGACTCGTAGGTCTTCCAAAATACTAAAAGCTAATAAAAAACTCGATATTCTGGGAAGAGGGTCGGATCGGAAAATTTGGTACATCTTTGATCGCCGCGGAAAGGAATTGAATTGAAAATTGAACAGGTAACATTGAACGCTTGGATTCAAAAACTGCACATGTATTCCGACCCTGGGGGCCACTGGGATACAGTACAAGGCCTATCGTTATCTGCATGCCTCGCACTCCCCGGTAAGGCAGATGTGAAAGCCGCATCTGCGCGACCCCGGAGGTCGCTTTAGGAACGAGTTTCCCGCACTAATAGTAATCTTATAAACGGACCTTAATTTTTCTAACCTATAAATGATATTAAATTTTATTTAAAATGTCGGAAACGTGCTGATAGCTTTATAAAACCTATACAAATTTTTTTCTTGCAGGTTAATCGAAGTCAGCGAAAAGAGAAAATATGTATAAAGGTTTTTTTAGGATTTTAGAAAATGACCAGGGTTGAAAAGCCGCTTCGCGACTTTTCAACCCTGGCCCCGTCTCGGACCCCATACTATTCTGCCATTTGCTTAATTGTCCTCCATTCCGAAGACAAAAAAATGAAAAACAACCCTTTCTGCCTCTTTATATAGGCGACAGCCCACTTCCGGTTTATGCTAATTACTCCTAACAAAGAGCTTTTTACAAAAACCTAAATTTAATAGCGAAAATGGCTAATTTTTAAAAATCTGATATGTGTGCAGTCATCCCTAGACCATTACGCACCTAATGACGTATCATACGTAGCCTAATACCCGTCCCTTCTTGAGATATCCTCCGGACAGACATCCGGAAGTGGATGCTAAGTGGCACACTATATATAGTAGGATTGTATAGAAAAGGGATACTGTTAGGGCTAAACTTCTAAACTGAATCGGTCGAGGAGTGCACCGCACCCGGTTGCAGTGGGCCTGCAAGCAGTGGGCTTTTTGAAAGGTTCTGTGACGTCGATAATTAGCAATATTCCCGGTTTTAAAATTATATTCGCAGAAAGCACTAAAATCCAGCCTAGTTGAGCATTTACATAGAATATATTGGGCAACGTAGGGTCACTAACGCGCACGGTATCAGTTTTAGAAGCCACGAGACATCATAGTTAGTTTTCATAGCAGCCCAGTATTTTACTAAGCCTCAATAACGTTGGCTCACATGGGGACTAAATTGTTAATTAATAGAATTTACTAATTATTAAAATTCCGCATTTGTCTCTTTTCTCTGACTTAAACTAAGTTGGAAGAACGCGTTGCACAAGTTGCCAAGGTTATTAGTACGTTTCCAAAATTTTAAACGGTATTAAATAAAGTATTTATATGTTAGCAAAATTAAGCTCGGGTTGTAGGAACACTATTAGTGAGGGAAATTCATTCCTAAAGCGGCCTCCGAGGTCGCGCAGATGCGGGTTTCGCGTCTGCCCTACCGGGGGAAGGCGAGCCAAGCAGATAACGATAGGCCTTGTCGACGGCGTCCGGGCCACTGAACCGTGTCGAAGCAAAATTACAAAAATGTCTGGGGGAAACCAAATTTTTTTTCCGGCACAAGCCTAAATTTTTTTTATAACTAGCGGATGCGTTTCTAAATTGTTTTAACTATCTCTGAGCATAAAAACTACACACATTTTAACTAAAAAGAATGACCAAATTTTCAAGTTTTCAAACATTTTTCTAACTTTTTTCAAGGTTTTCCCCTTTAAATTTCATTAAATTTGACTAAAAACAATGTGCAAACACTTAATATTTGATCACTAGGCCAACCGGGACAGCCAGGAAACAATTTGGTCCCCCCCGGAAATCCTAAAGAACCAAGCTTCTTTTACGGAAAAGGACCTGTTCAAACAGGTCTGGGAAAGGGCCGGCCCTATCGCCAAAATCTGGGCCCGGGCCGGCCCAACAGGTTGACCTGAACTAAAGCCATGCATCAGAGGAGTTCTGACATAAGCTGAGAGTACGTTTTAATGTCTCAGGTCATGCCAAATGGCATTGCAGTGATTTCGGATTGTTTCCGGTAGAAAAAAGCAAAAAGCAAAAAATTGATCTCGGGCGCGGTCGAACCCGGGTCGTTTTCTTGGTAAGCAATTTTGATCAAAAATTTAAATTTTTTTGTTTAAGCTGTGTAGATAGATAGCGTACTTTCTATAGTAAAAATAATCAATATTACCGCTATACAATCGCATTTAAATATATTTCTAATTCGTTCAGAAAGGTCGGGCCCGCCCGGGCCGGCCCGGGGCCCTATCCCCGCCCCAAATTAGGTATTGTCACAAATTTTCAGCCAAATTGGTAGCGTAGTTTTCGAGATAGTTTTTCGAGGGAGGCAACTTTAACCGGCCATTTAAACCCCAAAAATGAACTTTTTAAACTTTCAAAATCATCCCACCTTACTAATTTGACCATGCTCTCAGATTGCATCAAAAAACCGGGGTCGAAAAAAAACTGTGACAGGCCAAGTTCGGCCGTCTGGCAAACCGCCTTTTAACGAGCCGATTGCACACGGCCCCGAGTAGATACAGCCGGCCAAAACGCGCGACAATACTTATGGACCACCCTGTTTGGCTCCCCGAGACTTGCGCCGCGGACACTTGCGCCGCGGACACTTGCGCCGCGGACACTTGCGCCGCGACACTTACGCCGCGACACTTGCGCCGCGACACATGCACCGCGACACTTGCGCCCGACACTTGCGCCGCGGATCGTATATTGATTTAAACTGTAGTGAATTTGGTATTTCGCGCGAATTTTGTATGTAATTACTGTATTTTGCATTAAAAGCTGACAGAAAGTGAGTAACGCCAATTCGGAGCGTTCCTAAAGGCATCAGGCAAGGTGGGCCGTCGCTTCGGATGGGCTGCCGCTCCACTCTTTCGAAATCGGGGCGCCTGGCCGTTACGCGCGCCACGGGCGCCCCGATCTCGAAACCATGTACGAGCTCGCACCCATCCGAAGCGACTAGTCCGCCCTGGGTGGCACGAAGCCTTTTCTAGTCGCAGAGCCGACGAAGTAGCAATTACCTTCCCTCCAAATCGAGTGACTCCTAGCGCAAAACATCTTTCTATCGTTTCTTTAACCAGAATACTCCGCGCGAAAAATTGCATCTCCAAGTAGCTGAAACTCGGTATCGCGGCGCAAGTGTCGCGGCGCAAATGCCAGGCGCAAGTGGCGCGGCGCAAGTGTCGGGCGCAAGTGTCGCGGCGCGTGTGTCGCGGCGCAAGTGTCGTCGGCGCAAGTGTCGCGGCCCAAGTGTCGCGGCGCAAGTGTCCGCGGCGCATGTGTCGCGGTACCCCCTGTTTATAGGCTCTCTCCACTTCCGGCGCATGCAAATTGCCTTCTAACACAGAGATTTTTCGCTATCTTAACAAAAACTTAACTTTAGTAGCGAAAACAAAAATTTTTTCAAAACTCGCTATCCCGAAACTCCCTATCCCGAAACCCTAAAACTTAAAGATAAGATTAGTGCATTATAAGGTGCATGATGTGTTGTGGTAGGAAGACCACGAAGCAGAATTTCGGGATGTCTTCATGACGTCATGGAATAGGATCCCCGTTTCAGTTCAGCTGGGATACTGCCGTACCGCAACCCGCGAATCGACGTGGAAATGCTGTATATGACGTAAGATTTTCAATGCGACATACTCTTTTAACAATTGGCTTGATAATATTCAGAATGATCACCATTTTTCGCATTCACAGGTCACGCGATTCTTTCGTTCGGTGTCCACCGTAGAACATACCACGCTAGAAGTGTCAAACAGCCATCTCGTCCGAAAATTTCTCAAAGCCTGTCGGCGCCGCCTTAATGCGATCCGGTTTGTCCGCAAGGTGACAGTTTAACGCTTGAATGGGGGAGCAAGTGCGGGTTGAAATTGAGTTACGGCTGGAAAACCGAGACCCTGTACGCGGCTAGAGTGACGCAGAAAGGGCGGGAGGCCGGCAAGTTTGAGGTTCCCTTTGGGCACTCCCAAAATCACGTTCTCGGCTGTTTCTTAGGCCAAATTTGACGATTAAGACAACAAGACCATTTAAAATTGAGTCAGGATCTCAAAAATTAGCTCCGAAGCTGCGCCGTTATGGTGCTTTTACAAAGAAATTGGCCAATGAAGGCTTCGCGCAAAAATCGATAGAGCGAGGCTCACATCCCGCAGCGACCGCTGGCAATTTGCCAGAAATATAAGGCCCCTGCCAAACGGCTTGTATTTGACACCAGTGGAAAAAGACCGCTTCGCGGTCCTTTTCCACTGGACGCCGTCCATGAACCATGAATCCGAATATCTCCTTTTTTATCCTGGGGCTGGGGGGCAAAGAACAGGGCTAAACAATGATGCCGGCAGGGAGGCCCTCTGGTTACTTTACAAAATTTGATTTTTGGGTCTGAATCAGCTAAAAATTTGTAACGATAATAAGATGCGCGTGATCCCCACTATCGAATACATAACTGGTCCAAATTTCAGCCCGAAATTCCAAATGCGAATCAAGTTATGGCCCGAACACCACGGCTCGTCGCCCATTTTGTTAAGGATTTTTACTATTTTGCTTGTAAAATTGTTAAATGCAGGAATTTCGGAAAACAAAACAATGCGTGTCTGGCAAATGTGTTTCTCCACCTTCACGCCAAAAATCAGCCCGGAATTCGGCCTGACGGCCGAGAAATCCTCATTACAGAAAACAGACATTCTCGCTTATAGGATATTTGACATTTATGCGCCCCTTTAAAGGGATAAGGAGAAGCACTCCTACCACTCGGGTATTTCACAGAATCCCGGCTAGCTTGCCTTTCGGGGTGCGACGGAAACGATCGTACTAGGAGTTAATCGATAATTATAGGACCCAACCCTGGTGCGCTGCTCGGAATGTCGAATGGTAGGTGTTCGGGGGTATGGAATAGGGTGTGGCGCGGGGTGAGGGGGGGGCGGCTTTTTCAGCACCCTAAAAGAAGAGAAAAGTCTTTTTTAAAAAGGGCTTTTGCTTTTCGCAAAAAGAGATGAATTCTCGTGGCAACAAAAAGTGCTAAATTCCTTCCTTCCAAACTCTCAAAAATTCCACAAAATGCGGGAAAAACCAAAAGGGTATCAGTTCATTTCCCCAAAACTCAGTTCCCCGACAAATCAGTTCCCCGACAATTATAAGGTGCTATTTTAAAGGTACACCAGGGTTGAAAAGCCGCTTCGCGACTTTTGAACCCAGGCCCCGACTTATCCTATGAGAATTCACAACTTGAATAATTTTCTCGAACCACAACGCCAAAAAAGAAAAAATACGCCTTTGGTCCCTTTATATAGGGTTTTCTCACTTCCGGTGCATGCTAATTGATTCCTAACAAAGAGGGGGACCGAGATTTTTTACAAAAACCTATTTTTAATATCGAAAATACCACTTTTTCCGCAATTTTGCATGTGTGCAGTCATCGCAAGAAGATTACGCACCTAAAGAGGTATGATACATACCTCAAACTCCCTCCCCAGACCTGCTTTTGCTGGTACACCCAGACGGAAGTTGCATTCAAATGCACACACACACAGACACTATTTTTTTATATATAGTAGGATTCCACTCTCGTTCCGAACAACTATTCAGTGGCGTGACGGCCGGGCACGCAGGCCCTACATATCCTCTCGCCCCCTCCCCTCTCCCGTCTCTCCCATGGCCGAGTGGTCTATGGCGCCTGCCCCAAGGCGCGTGGTGCGGGTTCGGTTTTGCCGGAGGTCAGGCACCTACCGTAACCGCGTGCTATATTCCTCGTGTGTGCTATTCTATATTCCGCCGCGCCCGTTGTGAAATCGCGTTTTGATTTGCATTTCCGTCCCCAGGGTGACAGCGCGTGTCCCAGTAGGCTCCCTATCGGAATCACGAATTCTAAAATCAGAATCTCTCAATTTTAGAATCTCTAAATGTGAAAATCTCTAAATTTCCTTGTTCCGGAAACCTAAACGTTTTTTGACCAAAATTGGAAATCTGTATGGGTTTCTGCATCTGGAAATTAAGAGATTCTGACATTTAGAGATTCTAAGATTGAGAGATTCTGATTTTAGATATTCTGATCTTAGCGAATCTGAAATTTCCCCTGGCCCGGTGTTGCGACTCATCTAACATCCCTATTGGCATTTCCAGGGCGTAATTTGTTACAGCGCTACGGCACGGAGATCCCATGGAGTTGCGGGGTTTGTAACGAGATGTGGAGTGCATGGTACGAAGATGGATGGCATTCTGGAAAAAAACCCAACATCGTCTTCTGCGACAAGCAAACCTCCACGCCCACCTACAGCTACCAGTTTGCCGAGGTACGGGTTACAATCCTGGGGAAGGGGGCCTTCATCGTTCATCACTCACAAAGGTTTAGGCTCATTTTCCGCTAAATTAATCAAGGAAAACGCTAACCTGAGCCCGGCCTCAACTATTCCGGGAATTTTCGGTAAACTATTCCGGGAATCGAGTAAAAATATTCAAGGAATGTCTTTACCGATTCCCGAAATGCATTCCCGGGGAATAGTTATTTGTATGAAGAGGTATTTCTGCCGATAAACAAAGGTTATTTTTAACTTCCAAAATTCTCTGTAATTTCGCTGAAAAACCCGATTAATTTGAAACTTTGTATACTAGCTAATGAAGCCCCCTTTAAGCTCCTTTAAAAATCTCAGGAATTTTGGTGGTGTTTTACCTACAGGGTGTCCCAAAAAAACCCGACCTAGCGGTCCGCAGTCGAGTCCGATTTTTACCATTTAGCTATCTACCGAAAGCTCTCGAAAAGGCGAGAAAACAAGGAGGGCTTATTTTCTTTATTATGTATTTTTATTCGCTAATTTTACGTCCAAAACCCATAAAAACTGCTGATTTACGCAAGATCTGCATGCTAATTGCGAAATTCCTGTTGAAAAATAACCGGTTTTTAGAAAAACCTTAAATATCGATGGAACGAGATGTAATCTTAGAAAACGAAGCCCGCTTGTTCCTCTTCATACCCGGAAAGGATGAAAATGATTCCGGGAATCAATTCAGAGAGATTCAGGGAGATTCCGGGAATGAAAAAGGCGTTCCCGGAATGATTCCCGGAATAGTTAGGTCGGCTCGGGAGTCATTTTAGGAGATATTGGAGTTCTTAAGCGAGACCTAGCTAGTTCGATAGAGAAAAAAATTTTGAGCAAGGTGTCGTTTTCAAACTCTGCTAACAGTATACGATACTCGATAAAATTTATACTTAAACAAGATAAAAAAAATTTAATAAAACAAAATTCATCGGGTCGAAGCTGCCGCACTGTAGCAGAACCGGGACAGGACGGAAAGCGAACTAACATCCGCATGAGATGGTGGTCTAGTGAGTAGTGCAGCCGCCTATCAAACTTTTGCGGCAACGGTTTACTTTACCCCCCTCCCCCCCAGCCGCAAGTTTTTGGCTATAACTTTTTTATTTTACATTATTCTAGGCTCAAATTAAAACTGTTAGTATATTTTTCGCCGCTCTATAGAATGGCGTTGCAAAAATCCCGACAAAATAAGCGAAAATACCGAAAACTTTGAGACCCTTCGGCTGTGGGGGGGGGGGGGTGGGGGTAAAGTGAACTCTTAAATATATTATTATATTAAACTAAACTCTTAAATATATTTTATTATATTATATCATTATATTACTCTTAAATATATTAAACTACACACAACCCACAAGGGAACCACCTCAGGTCGAGGTGGCTGTCGTTATGGGACCCAGCCTATTTTGTGCAGAATTTTTTGCTGATTCCCACCCCGCAAATGTGTCCCCAGGAAATTGGCGCCCAGGCAAAAGCGCCTAACCGCATTTTTACGCTGAAAGAAAACTGACTGAAACACACTGAGAAACATCAAGAAATACACCCTACTGAAATTCCAGTCTTCACTCCTTGCTATTAAAGAGGCTAAGAAGCTATTTGGGCGAATTTCAAATGCTGACGCCATTTCACGGACCTGCAGGCAATTTGCAAAATGTTACTCGTTTGATTATAAAATTGACCAGGAATTGACCGAGCTCTTCGAGAGATTCGTTGACCCTACGGGCATTACGATTTCATTTCAGATAGTACGAATAGTACGAATTAGATCATTACGATTTCGTTTCGATTTATAATTTCACGCCGTTTTCAGATAGCCTTTTGCCCGGCGCGTGTCCAGCAATCGGGTGTTTTTCATGAGGTTTGCAACTCCTACGGTAATGACGACGAAGACCTCGATCTCTTTATCGTATGTAATGGGCGGTTTTCGATTAACAATAGCTCGATATAGCGATCATTCAAAAAACGTCTCCAAAGTCTTCATAACGGACATCTGGAACTGCTCGATGAGGGTGACGCCGACCTCGAAATCCTCAACAGATTTGTGGCGGATGGGTTGAAAGTGGTAGGTAGGAAAACTATGCCCAGAGATCGGGATTCTTTAAGGGAAAAAGCGTGAATTTAAAAATTCTGACGCTATTTCTGGAATGCTCAGGCAATTTTGATAATTTTAGTGGTTTTAGTTATGAAAATTGACCAGAGAGTCACCGAGATCGAGAGATTGGGTGCCTTACGACATGTAATCGCCGCCCGCTCAAAAACTCGTTTTCGCCCCGAAAACATTTTGGGTTTCCTCAAATATTTCGCGACGAACTCAATTTTGAAGTCATAGTCAGAAAGACATAATCTTGAATCAGATTGCTCCCGACTTCGACATACGAAAACAATAACATCAAAGCTATCATCGTATTCATAAGGCCGAGGCGGTTTTGGTACTTTTAAAAATTCGAAAATCCACTCGGCTACTCGGACCCAAAATCGGCTCTTTGGCCTTGTTTTGCTATTATTTGCCTCGTAACTTTGTTATTTACCACCGAAAGTCAGTAATTTTGAACATGCTGTCTTACAATCACCCCCAGAAGGCCCTCGAATTAAAAAAATCGTCAACTTTATGGAATTTTGTGATGGGATGCTAAAACCCGCCCCACGTGGGTTACTGCAGAAAACAGAAATTTGCGATTTTCGTGGTGTTTTTGCCATGGAATCGCTTCGATCTTCTCGTAAAACCCATACGACCTAAACCCATTTCGCCTAAATTATTGACCGTTTTCAATGCTGGATTTTTTACCAAAAAACCATTATTTTTCGAAATACTTGCAAGTTTTTTAGGATTTTCTAAACATAATCCTACAAATTCCTTGTAAAAACCACGTTTTGAAGCCAATTACAAAGTTTTATTGAAGAATTTCAAGAACTCTCTTTAAAATCTTACGAAACTATTATAAAGGTTTCGAAAATTGCCGACTTTTTGGTCAAAAATTGAGATATAAATGACCAAAAATTTAGACGAAATGGGTTTAGGCGAAACGGGCTTTAGGCGATATGGGCTTTAGGCGAAATGGGATTGAGGCGAAATGAGCCTTAGGCGAAACGGGTTTTAGGCGATACGGGTTTAGGCGATACGGGTTTAGGCGAACCGGCTGCCCGAATACTTCGGCAAAGAGAGCCCATGCCAACGTCGTCACTTCAAGATTGCTGTCTATGGAAAAAGTAGGTTTTCACGCCACTCACCACAACCATTTTTTCGACTATCTCGTTGCCCTGCACCGGGACAAGTGGGAGAGAAGGATGCGCATTTATGACAGATAAAGTGGTTTCAGCCGTGATAGAAAATAAATCCACCTACCGTTCACAATAAAAAAGCACCGCACGGAAAATACACCATAGCGACAAAACACAATACGCTGCTAATAACACTGTGTCGTTTCAGTCCAGATCCTACTATATATCAACTTTAATAAAAAGGTAGGGGTGTCTGTCCGTCCGTCCGTCCGTCATATCCCGAATTCAACCCGAAGGGGAAAGGAGCTAGAGCTTAGCTCTCTTCGGATTCGGATAGACCGTAGTCAGAAACCCCCAAACTGATAAAAAAATTATGAAAAAGTTTTAGTTTAAATTATTAGAATTAACTTTGAAAGTTTTTTCCTTACTAGGGAATGGTCTCCGCTCGGCCTCGAGTTTCGGGTTAAAAGTTAGCTCATCTTGTAGAGCTCGACGAGACGAATCGATTGATGTAACTTTTAGCTGCGGATACTGTAATACAACAAAGTTACAGCCCTTTAAAGTTTTTACCCGACCTTCATAAGCCCTCCCCACGCCCCTTCCACCATGGTCTGGTGGCCTAGTGGTGTAGTAGTCGGCTTCTGGGGAATCTATCGAGGGTTCGGACCCGCTCACGATTTTTATTCTTTGCTTTTTCGTCCGAAGCCTTCCTTTTGCGTTCTGAAGGCCGTGAAAAAGTTTTTATTCATCATTTCTGCTCTAGGAAGCGCCCCGGACAAAAATACCGCCCCTAAAAATTGTGGAAAATTTTGACAATCAGCCAGCTTGCCATTCCAGACTAAAAATAAAATCAAAAATTTTTTCATGGAACCTGGGTTACGATAACGAGTTGTAAAGATGATTATCAACCTGTTGCAATTTGTCTAAATTTTTGGAGGCTGGAGCGCTAACCACTGGGGGTCAAAAAATAATTTTCTTTTTCCGAAGTCTTTTTCCGTCTTTCTTTGGCCGGGGCGCTTCCTAGAGCAGAAATGATGAATAAAAACTTTTTCACGGCCTTCAGAACGCAAAAAGAAGGCTTCGGACGAAAAAGCAAAGAATAAAAATCGTGAGCGGGTCCGAACCCTCGATAGATTCCCCAGAAGCCGACTACTACACCACTAGGCCACCAGACCATGGTGGAAGGGGCGTGGGGAGGGCTTATGAAGGTCGGGTAAAAACTTTAAAGGGCTGTAACTTTGTTGTATTACAGTAGCCGCAGCTCAAGGTTACATCAATCGATTCGTCTCGTCGAGCTCTACAAGATGAGCTAACTTTTAACCCGAAATTCGAGGCCGAGCGGAGACCATTCCCTAGTTAGTAAAAGGGGTGGGGGACGGAGGTCGGGGTGATTTTGGACATATTGAGCCAGGTGGCGCGCGTTTCGTGGGTGAACATTTTCACGGGGGATTTCATTTCTTTTTTCTCTCATTCCATCCGGTCGGTCGTTATTTTCGTTTTTTAAAAGGATTTCGGCTAGGGGAGGTATCTAAAGCCATCAGGAAGGTATTTAGGTAGTTTTTGGGGGATTTCGGCTATGGGGGGATCTGAAGCCATCAGGGAGATATTTAGGTAGTTTTTGGAAGGGATTTCGGCCATGGGGGGTATCTGAAGCCATCAGGGAGGTATTTAGGTAGTTTTGAAGGGGATTTCGGCTATGGGGGATATCTGAAGCCATCAGGGAGGTATTTAGGTAGTCTCGAAGGGGATCTCGGCTATAGGGGGCTATCTGAAGCCGTTAGCGTGGGTTATGTTGGAGGTAGGGAAGGATGTGGTGGAGTAGGACACGTAGGGTAGCCTGAGGGCCTGATGGTCGCAGTCGCGAAGCGACTGTAACCATCTGGTATTACAAAAAAATAGTGCCTGTGTGCAGACACTCTGGGCTGGTACCATAACTGTTCACCACCCCTAGTAAAAATCTAAAGTTTACTACCCCTAGTAAACTTCTTACCACCACAGGTGAACTTCTTAGGTGTAGTAACCTGAACTAGGGGTAGAGTAACCTATGTTACTACCCCTAGTTACCTATTTACCTTCATAGGTTACTACCCCAAGGTGGGCATGGAAAAACGAATCAAGTGTCAAGTCGTAGTCCCAAAGACATTGAGGAAGAAAAGAAACAAAAATGCCGGGGCGAAGTTTTCCCGGATAGGCCTAAAGGGTTGTCTAAAGTCTTTTTTGAAAAGTAAAAATGTTCACTTTTCGGGACGAATTCCCGACGAAAATTGATTGCCTACTGATCAAAAATTAAATTCTTAGGCTACACACAATTGCTACAGTACCGAATGATTTTACGGGTTAGACTCTTGTGAGAAAGTGACTCACGAAAGCACAAAATTTATTGGGGTAGTAATAAAGTCTACCAACGTGAAAAGTTGAGTATACTCGTTTACTGGGGTAGTAAACACTCTGCGTGCATTTTTGTCGCGACTGAGCAAACACTGGAGCAACTTCGTTACTGAAGTATGTAGCTGAGGGACTGGACTACCCAATAACGGCTTTAAAAAACTTTAAAAAGTTGCGATATTTAAGTCTAAACTCTTTTTAAAACCAGTGTTTCGGCTTTAGAGAGTATCTGAAGCCATCAGGAAGGTATCGAAGAAGTTTTTTAAGGGTGTTTCGGCTATGAGAGGTATCTGGAAACCATCATCAAGATATCGAAGTAGTTTTTTAAGGGTGTTTCGGCTATAGAGAGTATCTGAAGCCATCAGCAAGGTATCGAAGTAGCTTTTTAAGGGTGTTTCGGCTATAGAGAGTATCTGAAGCCATCAGCAAGGTATCGAAGAGTTTTTTTTTGAGGGTTTCGGCTATAGAGTATCGAAGCCATAGGAGTGGCCGAAGTAGTTTTTAGGGGTGTTTCGGCTATAGAGAGTATCTAGAGGCGTTTTTAAGGGTCGGCGTGCAATTTTAGGCTGCTCGAACGTTTCAGCACAAATCAACCTAGTTTCCACTTACCAGGGGGAGTAACGACGTTTCCTAGTCTGGTTACCGGGGTGGTGAAGAGTTTACTAGGGGTAGTAAGCCGGGAATGGGGTGGTAAACAGGTTATGGTACGGGCCCTGATGGCTTCAGATACTCTCTATAGCCGAAACACCCTTAAAAAACTTCTTCGATACCTTGCTGATGGCTTCAGATACTCCTCTATAGCCGAAACACTCTCAAAAAACTTTCGATACCTTCTGATGGCTTCAGATCTCTCTATAGCCGAAACACCCTTAAAAACTACTTCGATACCTTTCTGATGGCTTCAGATACTCTCTATAGCCGAAACACCCTTAAAAACTACTACGATCCCTTTCTGATGGCTTCAGATACTTCTATTCCGAAACACCTCTAAAAAACTACTTCGATACCTTTCTGATGGCTTCAGATACTCTCTATGGCCGAAACACCCTTAAAAACTACTTCGATACCTTTCTGATGGCTTCAGATACTCTCTATATCCGAAACACCCTTTAAAAACTACTTCGCTACCTTGCTGATGGCTTCAGATACTCTCTATAGCCGAAACACCCTTAAAAAACTACTTCGATACCTTTCTGATGGCTTCAGTTACTCTCTATGGCCGAAACACCCTTAAAAAACTACTTCGATACCTTTCTGATGGCTTCAGATACTCTCTATAGCCGAAACACCCTTAAAAAACTACTTCGATACCTTTCTGATGGCTTCAGATACTCTCTATAGCTGAAACACCCTTAAAAAACTACTTCGATACCTTTCTGATGGCTTCAGATACTCTCTATAGCCGAAACACTCTCAAAAAAACTTCTTCGATACCTTTCTGATGGCTTCAGATACTCTCTATAGCCGAAACACCCTTAAAAAACTTCTTCGATACCTTTCTGATGGCTTCAGATACTCTCTATAGCCGAAACACCCTTAAAAAACTACTTCGATACCTTTCTGATGGCTTCAGATACTCTCTATATCCGAAACACCCTTAAAAAACTACTTCGCTACCTTGCTGATGGCTTCAGATACTCTCTATAGCCGAAACACCCTTAAAAAACTACTTCGATACCTTTCTGATGGCTTCAGATACTCTCTATGGCCGAAACACCCTTAAAAACTACTTCGATACCTTTCTGATGGCTTCAGATACTCTCTATAGCCGAAACACCCTTAAAAAACTACTTCGATACCTTTCTGATGGCTTCAGATACTCTCTATAGCCGAAACACCCTTAAAAAACTACTTCGATACCTTTCTGATGGCTTCAGATACTCTCTATAGCCGAAACACTCTCAAAAAACTTCTTCGATACCTTTCTGATGGCTTCAGATACTCTCTATAGCCGAAACACCCTTAAAAAAACTTCTTCGATACCTTGCTGATGGCTTCAGATACTCTCTATAGCCGAAACACTCTCAAAAAAACCTCTTCGATACCTTTCTGATGGCTTCAGATACTCTCTATAGCCGAAACACCCTTAAAAAACTACTTCGCTACCTTGCTGATGGTTTCAGATACTCTCTATAGCCGAAACACCCTTAAAAACTACTTCGATACCTTTCTGATGGCTTCAGATACTCTCTATAGCCGAAACACCCTTAAAAAACTACTTCGATACCTTTCTGATGGCTTCAGATATCTCTATAGCCGAAACACCCCATAAAAACTACTTCGATCCTTTCTGATGGCTTCAGATACTCTCTGTAGCCGAAACACCTTTAAAAAACTACTACGATACCTTTCTGATGGCTTCAGATACTCTCTATGGCCGAAACACCCTTAAAAAACTACTTCGATACCTTTCTGATGGCTTCAGATACTCTCTATAGCCGAAACACCCTTAAAAAACTACTTCGATACCTTTCTGATGGCTTCAGATACTCTCTATATCCGAAACACCCTTAAAAAACTACTTCGCTACCTTGCTGATGGTTTCAGATACTCTCTATAGCCGAAACACCCTTAAAAAACTACTTCGATACCTTTCTGATGGCTTCAGATACTCTCTATAGCCGAAACACCCTTAAAAAACTACTTCGATACCTTTCTGATGGCTTCAGATACTCTCTATAGCCGAAACACTCCAAAAAACTTCTTCGATACCTTCCTGATGGCTTCAGATACTCTCTATAGCCGAAACACTCTTAAAAAACTACTTCCATACCTTGCTGATGCCTTCAGGTACCCGCCATAGATAGCCGAAACACCCTTAAAAAACTACTTCGATACCTTTCTGATGGCTTCAGATACTCTCTATAGCCGAAACACCTTTAAAAAACTACTTCGATACCTTTCTGATGGCTTCAGATACTCTCTATGGCCGAAACACCCTTAAAAAACTACTTCGATACCTTTCTGATGGCTTCAGATACTCTCTATATCCGAAACACCCTTAAAAAACTACTTCGCTACCTTGCTGATGGCTTCAGATACTCTCTATAGCCGAAACACTCTCAAAAAAACTTCTTCGATACCTTTCTGATGGCTTCAGATACTCTCTATAGCCGAAACACCCTTA